AACTTGCACATTCGATACCTTTAAAAATCTTGTATATTTAAGTAACTTTGTAAATTAGGAATAATTTATTTTAATTGAATTTATAAACATTTTTTAGGAATTTCTTAAAAAAGTTATACATCTTTAAAATTAAAGTTCTATATGTTTCAGTTTTTTTTCCAGTTAGATTTTTTGTGCCTAGTAAGATTATAACTAGCTTAAAATATTGAAAGCAAAAAAAAAAAAAATTTGACGGGGGTGTTTTGAGATATTGGGCCCTAAAGTTAGATTATATAAACTAGTTGATTTATTAATTTTTAAGGATGTTCCTCTAACATTTCAGCATTTTAAGTACATTTATTGAATTCAGCATTAAAAAACCATTATAAATGTATATTTTTATATTTTTGTCATTTTTATTTCTTATTTTATTGAGAAAAACAACTTTTCAGAATGTTATGAAAACCGGGTCATTTTGAGAAACCAGGTCCAAATTAAATTTGCTGTATCTTGTCAACCGCTTGACATTTTTAGCTGAAATTTTGCATGCAATATTTTTTTATAAATAGGAATCATGTGTCAAAATATAAAACAAAAAGAAGACACATGGTTCAATGGAGTGGGTGATTTGATGTGGAATTACCCTTTTGGTATTTCTGGTAAACTTCTTACGTGGATAGTCTGTTTTTTAGCTAACAGAAAACAAAGAGTGGTTTTAGGTAAAAGTGTGACAGATTGGGTTGATGTACTTAGTGGTGTACCACAAGGGTCTGTTCTAGGTCCTCTCCTTTTTTTGGTATTAATAAATGATTTACCAGAAAATTTTATTAATGAATGTCGTTTATATGCTGATGATAATAAGATAATTGCACCTATTTCTTCTCAAAATGATTCACAATTGTTTCAAAATGATATGAATAAACTTGACAAATGGTCAACAAAATGGAAATTAGGATTAAATTTTGAAAAATGTAAAATTATGCACTTTGGTTCAAATAATAACGAATATTCATATTTTATGAATGATAACAATACATTAATGGAAATTGAAAAGTCAAAATTACAAAAAGACATTGGTGTTGATATATCAAGTGATTTAAAATGGGCCAAACAAGTAAAATATGCAGCTAGTAAAGCAAATAGTATACTCTCACTACTAAGTAATACATTCAAGTACAAGGATAAAGATCTAATAAAAACACTGTATTGTACATATGTTAGACCAAATTTGGAGTTTTCAATTCAAGCATGGAGTCCGTATTATACAAAAGATATTAATGAACTAGAAAAAGTCCAACGAAGAGCTACCAAAATGATACCGGAGCTAAGACATCTTGAGTACAAAAAAAGATTGGAAATTTTGGGTTTGACTACTTTGGAGACTAGAAGGCTAAGGTGCGATTTAATCCAGCAATTCAAAATATTTAAAGGTATTGAAATCATTGATATTAAACAAAATCAAACAATGAACTCTACTTGCTCATCAGGTCCTGCAGCTAACATTAGAGGAGCAAAACATCGAATTGGTCAGAAATTGTTTGAAAAGGCAATATTTTTTCAGCAATAGAGTTGTCGATGGATGGAATAGTCTACCAGCCGAAGTTGTTCAATCTACTACAGTTAAAAGCTTCAAATTAAACTTGCAATCGGTCGACTTAGAAGAAATAAAAAACTAGATAAAAACCAAGAAAGCTTATTATTAACGTTTTTTATTATTTAGTGACTGAACTAACTTGTTCATTAATTAATTTATACCAGCTGTCATAGATATTGTCTGGCGCTTTATCTCAACAGCATTAATTATTATTATTATTATTATTATTAATATATATATATATATATATATATATATATATATATATATATATATATATATATATATATATATATATATATATATATATATATATATATATATATATATATATATATATATATATATATATATATATATATATATATATATATATATTTATATATATATATATATATTCCAGATGTTATTGGACTTTAGGAAAATTCTTAGATGTAGTTACATCTTCCTAAAAATGTTGCTAAGGGTCATTGAATTTCCAGATAATATTGGACAAATATTGTTGGAGTTAAAGAAAAATATAAATGATCTAGGACTACACAACAGATGTAGCTTTCGCAATTTTTTTTTTGTTTTTGCATCTATTACTTTTACTTCTTTAAAATATATATATATATATATATTTTATATGTATCTTTGAAAACAAAACAAACCATGCAACATTTTGCTGTAGATCCAGTTATCCTGCATTACTCTACATGATGTAATAATTTATTATTTTATGTTCAAGTGTAGATATACTTCATGACATTGTTTACATAACTGGATTGTAAAAATGTTTTAAACTTGCAAAATTTTTTTTTTTTCGTTCTTCATTAAAATACTGAAAGACAGTGCACTGTAAACAATAGTTGATACTATTGTTTACAGTGCATACACACTGAGATTGTGCTCTAAAAGAAATATAAGAGGACCTACTTATAATATTATTATTCCTGGTTCTGCATATAATTAAAACTATAAAAATTAAAACTGCTTTGTTTTTACATTATTTCATAACGTTATAAATCGAATATAAAAAGAACAGAACTGCCAAGTCTAACTTAAAGACCCCGTCAACTATATTTATAAAACAAAATGCAAAATATATTAACTTCTTAAGAAATACCTTTACCATCATTGATATTTTTTTTTTGGCTGCATACTTGTATATAATTAACATGATTGCATAGAGCTTGGAAAAACCTAATTCAGCTTTAAAAACACAATCAAAATATTTATTAAAGATGTTTTATAAAACTAGATGTTAGCTTGTTGTTGCTTTCGACTTTAATTTTAAGAAAATTTTACTAACTTAATTAAAAACTTGATAATTAAATTTTATTAATACAGTTCAATTTAATTATGCAAATAAAATACTTTATCCTAATTATAAAACCTAGTAAAAGATTACTACATTTGTCCAACAACATCTGTAGAGTAGTCTATGATCATTTGTATACTTTTGTTCAAGATCATCTGTATTTTTTTTATTCCATCAACATTTGTTCAGTATTATCTGAAAATTCAATGATCCCTAACAACATCTTCAGGAAGACTATATCTGGTAACTATATCTGGTAATTAAAACTATATCTGGTAATTTTCTCCCAGCCTGTAATCCATCTGGTAATTTTTCTCCAACAATGTTTGGAAGAATTTTCTCCAGATGTAACTACATCGAAAAAAAATCCATATATGAAATTATAACTGGCTAAAAGAATGCATTTATGTTTAATATTTTTTTCCAGATGTAACTACATCTTAAAAAAACCATATGAAACTACATCTGGTTAATATATCGCATTATATTATTTTTTTCCAAATGTAACTACATCTGAAAAAAAGACATATATGAAACTACATCTGGGTAATATAATGGATTTTAATTTAATAACTCCATAAAATTTTGTAGTTATATTTAATATAATTAAAAAGATGTAACTGGAAAATTCACAGACGGTTAGCTATATTTTGAATGATACAAAAGTAGGTTCGCAATATTGAAGAAAACATAGACCTAGAGTGTCTTCACAAGATATTGTGCATTTAAAGTTTTTATTAAAATGTAGGACCTACCTTTTAAATCATCCTATTTAAACATTGCTATTTATAAATTCAAATTCTTGAGCAGTTTTTGGTAATGAAATTAATGAAGACAATTATTCCATCAACTTGCATTTTCATTTTTATTTTATCTTTAATAATTATGGCAATTTTCTCAGTAAAGTTTTATTGTTTCTAACATTGTTTTAAAGTTGTTTGTCAAGGTTCACAAGTTAAGCAAAGCACTACCAGGAGCGTGGTGGATTGATCTCAGAACTTCTCGCTTATGAGGCAAGCTATCGCTATTTATCACTTTGATAACTAAAATGCACGCTACAAAATGATAATTAGTAGCAATTTTATTATGAAAAGAGATTCATTTGACCATTTGATCAACTGATGTTAAGGTAGCAAATACTTTAAAGAAAAAACACTCACTATTCTCAACAAAAGCATGACTTGCTTTGATACATTATTCATTAGAAATTTTTCAGGAATTTGTTTTGAACACATCTTTACAATTATAATTTCTAACCACATGAACTGACTTTTATTAATGAGTTTAGTAGACAACATTTTAATCAATATAACATATTTTGTATTAGTTATGTATATATACTATCTATGAAAGAATTTAATTCTATACAGATATAATCAATATAGAATAAAATTTATAATTAATATGCATACATCCTATCTAATATCATTATTATAGAATATAAAAGTATAAATAGAACAAAAATGTATAAATGATAAACATTCATTTCTTCTTATATCAATATTATGAATATGATTATAGATATATTATAATGACATCGCAAATATAAGATAGAAATCTATAACTTTTTATATATCTTAATGTAAATGTAAACATGGACTTCTATAACCTTCTATTTATTTTGAATGAAGGTAAATAAAAGATTTTGTTATAAAAGAATTTTTATAATCTTTTTTCATCATATAAGAATTATTATAATTAATAGAAAAACTCACCATTGTAATTTATTATTTTTCAAATTTAATAAACAAGTTCTAAGTTCACCTAACTAGTTGCTATTAGAAGAACGCGCGTTGTTTTTAAATTTAAAACAAGGTTTAGAATTTAAACCTACTAAAACAATGCATGCGTTAAAAATTTCCTCAAGTCTTAGAGTCCGGCTAACGAGATGTTTCAAAATCGGACTCTGCGAAACTCAAAATTTTTAACCAATCAAAACAGGGATCGATCTCAGGAAATAGCCGTTCGTAACAAAGTAGTTTGATTTAGTGAAGGAAAGCTGAAGATTTTCTACTTATTTTTTATTTGCTAGTACTCAAATTTTTAATTTGGTGTTTTATACTTATATAAATTTAAATATATATTAAATATATACATTATAAATTTATATTATATAAATTTAAA